GAGATGAACGGGGAGAAGGAAGGCACGAAGGGGACCGAAGAGTTTCGACCCGGCGAGGAGTGTGGGGAGCGGGATCAGAAGAAGGCTCAGGAAAAAAAGAAAGCCAAAGGCCTAGGTAAGAGGTTCCCTGCTCCGGCGGTGCCACCAGCCTGAGAACTTCAGTCCAGTCGTTGATTTTATACTGCACTGACTGCCCTCACTGAAACAAGTGCCTTGGGGGTGTGACGTGCTGCAGCGTTTGGGAACGACGCGGCATTGTGTTTTGCGCGGAGCGCTGCAGCGGCCCTGACTGCTCCTGGATTCTGCCGCAGGCTCTGAACTCTGCGGCTTTCTCTTCTCTGGACACAACTCTCTCTCTAACCAGCCCAGTGGTGGTTTCCCTCTCTGCAAACCAGGTCTCTCCCCAGCTGCTTCAGTTGTTCACCTGCTGCAGGCGGTGAAATGTGTGGGGCAGGGAGCAGATGCGAGAGCTGGGAGCTCTGGCCCAGGGCAGGCAGGGCTCTGAGACCTGGTTTGTCTCTCCTGCCTTTGCCCTTGTAAACCAGAACTCTGTGTGAGGGGTTTTACCTATTTTAATTCAATGCCTTGTTCCAGGCAAAGAAATCACTTTGCTGATGCAGACGTTGAACACACTGAGCACGCCAGAGGAGAAGCTCGCAGCGCTGTGCAAGAAATACGCTGAGCTGGTGAGTGCTTATTTCTGTTGTGGGCTCTGGGGCTCGGGTAGGACACTGCAGCAGCGAGCACAGGAGCTGCCTGAGGAGACAGAATATGGCTGTAGATATTTGTATTTTTTTTATTCTCGGTGTTGCTGCATCTGTGCCCTTTGTTCCCCTGTCCTAGCTGGAAGAGCACCGTAACTCCCAGAAACAGATGAAGATCTTGCAGAAGAAGCAGACGCAGCTGGTGCAAGAGAAGGATCACCTGCAGAGCGAGCACAGCAAGGCCATCCTGGCCCGCAGCAAGCTGGAGAGCCTGTGCCGCGAGCTCCAGAGGCACAACCGCACCCTCAAGGCAAGTGTCTCCTGGGCACGACTCCAAGATCTGCTTCATCCCGAGCGCTTGGATCGCTTGCTGGGAGCCCTTTTGGCAAACTTACCTTCACCAATCTTGCCAGCCAGGGCAGTGCTTTAATTCTGGTATTAAGCCATCATTATCCGCAGTGCCTGAGTGTTATTTAAGGGTGTGTTTGCTGGAGAAAGGGAGGGAAAAGCCCAAAGTCCCTTCTATAAGCAACAGTGGGTGGCTAAGCGGGTTCAGAGCATCGGTTTGGGCCGTTTGCTCCCCAGCACAGAGGCTGACGCGTCCCTGCTGTCTCTGCCCGCCCCCACACAGGAGGAAGGTGTCCAGCGCACACGGGAGGAGGAGGAGAAGCGGAAGGAGGTGACATCCCACTTCCAGGTGACACTGAACGACATCCAGCTCCAGATGGAGCAGCACAACGAGAGGAACTCCAAGCTGCGCCAGGAGAACATGGAGCTGGCGGAGCGGCTCAAGAAGCTCATCGAGCAGTACGAGCTGCGGGAGGAGGTGGGTCGGGGTGGGAGACCCAGCGCGGGGCTGCTCTGGTGTCCTGCCCACTAGAACATGTTTCTGCTGCCAGAGGGGAGAAGGGGGCTCTGGGATCTTCCCAAAATGTGCTGGTGACTGGTAGTATTTCTCTCGGCAGCACATTGATAAGGTGTTCAAACACAAGGACCTGCAGCAGCAGCTGGTGGATGCGAAGCTCCAGCAGGCGCAGGAGATGCTGAAGGAGGCAGAGGAGAGACACCAGCGGGAGAAGGACTTTGTAAGTCTCACGGCAGTTCTGCAAGGCTTGGGAGCACTCTGCTTTTTGCCCTGTTCCTCTCTGGAGGTTCATTACTGTCGTATCCCAGAGCATAGATGCCAGGTGTGGTCAAGCCGTCCTCCTGCCCCCCCAGCAGTGACCGCTCCTGCAGCGGCTCAGGGAGTGAGGCTGGAGCCCTGCTCTGCTCCTTGTGTTTCGCTGGACCCCCTCCCACCTCCAGCTGCTGCGCAGGGGCGTGTTGAGAGCCTTCCCTGCTGGCAGCCAGGTCACTGCTTTTGCTCTTCCCGTAGCTGCTGAAGGAAGCCGTGGAATCGCAGAGGATGTGTGAGCTGATGAAGCAGCAGGAGACCCATCTCAAGCAGCAGGTGAGTTGCCCGGTCTGTGCGCTCAGCCTGGTTATTTGTGGGTTTGTGGGGGTTTTTTCTTCCTCCCTAAGCAGAGAACAACCCAAAGTTTTTTCCTTAATCTGGAAAATGGAGGGCCAGGATGGCTCCTGGGTTTGGTATTGGTGAGCCTGTGTCAGCGTGGTGTGAGCTGAGATTTCCTGCAGCAATTCTGCCTTCTGGGGTGAAAGGGGCCTCGGTTTTGACCAGCGCTGGGAGCAGTCGCGTGACCCTGCCTGACTGAATCACACCCCGCAAGCGCCTCTGGCCCAGGCTGGGAGATGTTTGCAGAACACATCAGTCCCTGAGCATGTTTCCCTAGGAAAGAATTTTTCCACATTCCCCAGTTGGCAGAGCTGCTCCCTGCTGCCAGTTTGCTGAAGTCCAGTCACAAGATGACTCGCTCAGTTCTTGGCTGGCATCTCCCCTCTCCTGGGGAGGGCTGTCAGGAGGTGTGCGGTGAGCAGTGAGGAGCCGTAACCCTCTCTCTCCCCACAGCTGGCTCTCTACACGGAGAAGTTTGAAGAATTCCAGAACACCCTTTCCAAAAGCAGTGAAGTGTTCACAACATTCAAACAGGAGATGGAGAAGGTGGGTAACATTTTTGTTGCCCGGCAGAGCTTGCCTGGCACTGCCTGTCTCTCGTCAATGCTTCTGTGAGCTGGAAGAGCCACAGCTCTGTAGTTCTGTTTCGTTTTGCTGATATTCAAGTCAGCCACGTGCTGGCTGCTCCTAGAAGGTTGGTACCATCCTTGTGTGGTGACTTCTGTGTCCCACCTGTGTCAGAACAAGCAGTGCTACCCCACCTCCTGGTTTGGGGTCACCTGGTCAGTGTTCCCCACCGGTGAGGCCGACTGCAGTGAGACGAGGAGATGATGTCCCTGTCTGTGCTGGGGTAGTGGGTGCCCCTTTGAGGACACGTGTGAGGTGCCTGTAGCTTATTTGCTCCTTTTTTTGTCACCATGACTCTGCAGATGACGAAGAAAATCAAGAAGCTCGAGAAAGAGACCACAATGTACCGCTCGCGCTGGGAGAGCAGCAACAAGGCTCTCTTGGAAATGGCCGAAGAGGTGAGGAGGAGGCTCTGGCTGGGCTGTGCCGAGGCAGCTTGAGCCGCGGGGCCGTGTCTTGGGTTGGGCAGAGCTGAGAGACACTGGGGGGTTGTGGTTTTCCCTTCAGCTCGATTCCCTTCCCCGTGTGTGGTGGTAGGAGCCCCGTGTCCCGTGGCTGAAGTGATGGTTAATTAGTGCAGAGAGGTGTGGAAGAAGTCAGACAGTCTCAGTGACACTTGGCCTCAGAAAGAGAGAAGCAGTGACAACGACATGTTTGATGCCAGATGTTTGCTTGGTCACGAGTATTTTTCCCCTCGAGCTTCCCTTTGAGGTTTCATCTCTCCCTTTCTGCCTCTCTGTCCCCGATGTGGCAGAGCCTGAACTGCCTCTCTATTTGCAGAAAACCCTTCGCGACAAAGAGCTGGAAGGGCTTCAGGTGAAAATCCAGCGCTTGGAGAAACTGTGCCGAGCCCTGCAAACGGAGCGCAACGACCTCAACAAGAAGGTGCAGGACC